ACCTTCTCTACCTGTGTAGGTTTAAACGCAAATAATACCGCTTTGAGGACCAATATGTGGGATGGGTGCTCACGTATCAAGGTACACGTGTGTAGGTATCTGAGAGAAAGTCGACGAAGATTAAATATGTTGTAAAAATAGCAAACGAGCACACTCAGCTAAAATCGTCTATCCCACTGCCTGCATGTAAAAGACATTCATTTACAGATTCATCTATAAATCAGCCCAGTCCGTCCGTTCATCCGTCTATGTATGTATGTATGTATGTATGTATGTATGTATGTATGTATGTATGTATGTATGTATGTATGTATGTATGTATGTATGTATGTATGTATGTATGTATGTATGTATGTATGTATGTATGTATGTATGTATGTATGTATGTATGTATGTATGTATGCATGCATGCATGTATGTATGTGTACGTGTGCGTGTGCGTACGTGCGTGTAGATAGATATACATACGTATCTGCATAATCTGCACAACATTATATGTTCAATTATATGAAGAACCACTTCGAAAGCGAGGCTATAGTCTACGATATAAATTTTAAAGTTATATATAATATAATATAAAGACTCACACACTGCTCTAAGGACGACATCGAGAAGAACAATGGTTTATATCCTGCTACTTGGATCATATGTTATTATGCTGTTCAATCGGTATTTATATTGTAGACTTACACAATAAGTATTTATTACATAGTGCACACTTAGACTAAGTATTTAGACGTTTTCGTTACCCCCCACGACCACAGTACCAAACCAGTTTTCTATATGCCGACTGTGTATCTGGAATATTTCAAAAACATGAATGAAGGGGTGTGCAGCATACAAGAAACTACGTTTAAACGAAGGTGGGTAGGGTGGGAAGTGGTCTGATTATGTTTCGTTCTGACAACTCCATGTATCCCTACAACCAGAAATTATATATATATATATATATATATATATATATATATATATATATATATATATCTATATATATATATATATATATATATATATATATATATATGTATATATATATATATATATATATATATATATATATATATATATATATATATATATGTGTGTGAAAATGTATATCTATATATATATATATATATATATATATATATATATATATATATATATATATATATATATATATATATGTATGTATATATATATATATATATATATATATATATATATATATATATATATATATATATATATATATATATATATATATATATATATATGCGTTTACTATTTCAATATCAATTCATACTATTTACAACAGGACTTAATTATTGTCCAGTACAGAATTGAAAATCGGACGCAGGAAATATGATTTTCAAAATGGATAGCATCTGTTCTAAATGTTACCTACATTAATGTAATAGACAATTCTCTTTGATCGCATAGATTTTAACTACGTTCCTACCACTGAGAACGTACGCATGATGTAACACAATAAAGATACGTTGACAAGAGTACATTTTTGTTTCTAGGGTTATTCTTTTCAGTTAATTCATGTGTATAAATCGTAAAGTAAATCAAGAACGACAGAGCTATTATGGAAATATTTCGATGTGAAATGTATCTAAAGACTTCGAGCTGCTTCTGCACGCCTGTTTTAAAAAGGTAGTTTTTTTTAGACACATCACGTGATTCTTTCTAACCTGTTCTTACAGGCAGTAATACAGGTGCATGGGAGCGAAGAGATGTTGTTTTAGGGTACGAAAATAGCTAGTTTAATTTTAGTCACCAAATACCGTTGCAACCGTATCCAGCTATATGTTACAAAGATACCCAATTTACCTTCCGACGATATTCACTTATTCGTTACATCTCTAATGTTGCGTCATGTAAAATAAATTTTTGCCGTTGCAAAGTTACATTTTACCGCTCAAACACTGATTTTAACATTGTTGTCTTTGCAACGGCATTAATTGCTTGTCGCAACGGTATTTCAATGCCAAAACGTACTATGGTAACACAAGCATACCCATTAATTAATATGTCATTGTGTTTCTTGTTCTTCAGTTTCTTTATTCCATACATCAACGGACTTATTTATGTCTATATTGCATCTTTTTACTCTTATATATTGCACTGTATATACCCGGAAATTATCCTAACCAAGTGTGAAGTAATTGTCAATATCGGAGATAAGCTTTCAGCACGTGGGTGGAAATATCAGGGTTGCCTTTTATATATTTCTTAATTTTATCTGATCTTGGCAACATTTCTCATTTCTAATTGAGGTTGTCATAAACATTTTCGGAAAATTTGATGTTTGCCTCTGTGAAACCCCGCAAACTGTATTCTCCCACAGGGATATATATATATATATATATATATATATATATATATATATATATATATATATATATATATATATATATATATATATATATATATATATATATATATATATATATTGCATATATATATATATTGCATATATATATATTGCATATATATATATATATATATATATATATATATATATATATATATATATATATATATATATATATATATATATATATATATATATATATATATATATATGCAATAAAGTGACGACGAACAGTACGAAACTAGTAACTAACTAGCCTAAGCGCTTTCGACTCTTAATGAGTCTTTTTCAAAGGCAAATACAAAACATATATACGACAAACAAATAAACGTTGTGTTTGTAAACCTCTACATGGCTGTCTTCACATGCGCTAAAACTATAAATAAAACCAGCTTGTATAGACTAGTTGCGGAAACTGAAAACGTTGTATAATTCCCTAAAAGTCTACAAGAGGCAATAAACTGACGACGAACAAACAGTACGAAACTAGTAACTAACTAGTTACATATATATATATATATACATATATATACATATATATATATATATATATATATATATATATATATATATACATATATATATATATATATATATATATATATATATATATACATATATATACATATACATATATACATATATATACATATACATATATACATATATATATATATATATATATATATATATATATATATATGTATGTATGTATGTATGTATGTATGTATGTATGTATGTATGTATGTATGTATGTATGTATGTATGTATGTATGTATGTATGTATGTATGTATGTATGTATGTATGTATGTATGTATGTATGTGTTAAATCCAAAGGTAAAATAGGAGGATCGAAAGCTGACCCTTTACGTGGGATGCAAGAGCGTGTGCATGTGATTATTTGAAAATGAACAGTATTAGTTATGTGAAATAGACGGTAAAAATTTAAGAATCGTGCAACTACATATATCACTCTGTAACATTTATTCAGACATTTCCAAGCGATATTTTTATGAACTGATCTTATTCAGAAAGAGCATTAATAATGTGCACCACTGTTAGATGAAACTTAAATGACGATTGTATGTAATGTACGAAGAAGGAGCAAAAGTCACAACGTTTTATATGCATATCTGTTTGTATTCACCCCGTGCAGTTGCACATTACATTTTAATGAGTTTATCGTCATTGAAGATCTTGCTACTATGTAGGCAGTTTTTTTTGTGTCTCAACACACAGGTATGCAAAGAGGTAGTCAGGACTAAATCATTATGCAGCACAAGAGACACGTCCCATACGAATATGAGGCAGTCGGATTTTAGACGCGACGTGTTTTTCCAGGCGTTGATAGGAATAAAGCATGTATACTTTGCAAACTACGAGGCCGTCAAGTGGCAGTTCGATTGATTCTCTGCAAGAAATGATCAAAATAGAGCTTTGGGTCAAATGATTCATAAGTAGTAATTTTTAAATGAAAACCTTACAGATAGTCCCAGTCCTAGGAGCTGCTGGGCCCATTGCATCAAGAGACGAGCGCAGGACCTCAAGCAAACAATTTTTATAGCGTATCAGCGCGGGGACCAAGGTGGTTGCCTCGTTCACCTTGCCCTAGGGCCGATCCTGCTTACAGACAAACGTTAAGAAACCTAAGTACCTTTAAGATGAAAATAAAAGGTGAATATGATAACAATCTGTAAAAAAAAGAAAAATGTACAAATGTTCAATTGATGAAAATATTGTTTTGCAATTATTTATATTCTGCAGTCTTTTGAAAGGTCAAACATATCGTCGGATGGTTTATTATTATAAAGCTTTATCGATGAGTTCAAATGGGTAAGCTTGCCTCACAGGGTGGACGTCGGTCGACACACTTGCCAAATCTCATTAAAATCGGATCTTCACCGACCTACGTAGGTCATTGAAGATCTCATTTGAAAAAGATTGCACATTTGACAAGAATCAGATCAACTGTCAGGAGTCGGCTGGCTGAGCGAAATGACCGGTACGCGGCGGACAAAAGCATATCCCATAGGATACCAATTTTCACCAAGCTGTACAATTACAAGCGTCTGATCAACACAGACTTTTGTGATGTCATTGTAATATTATTGCTTCAACGTTATATCCAAACACATCTAAACATTACTGAAAGTGTAATGCAAATATCTTAGGGGTTAGAATTGAATGTTACATAATTGTATTATTAGTCAACGAATACGTTGTGGACAAAATGATAATGGTGTCATTTTAAGTGAGGGAATTACTTCAAAACTCAATAGTAATAACACACATAACGTTTTTCAATAAGGTTTCAAAAACAAAACTATTCGTACAAAGATAACAATATGGTACTGTTATTTGCCTATGACAATTGACTACTTTTACAATTGCGCGTGCGTGTATATGATTTGGATTTTATCTTAGGTTAAACAACTTTTCAGCCATATCGCTACGATGTCTGCAGTGTGGCAGTTTATAGCGATGTCTAGCACTGGTTTATCAAGCCGTAGACATGTATCATGATATCCCACTCAATCAAATTATCCTGACGCCAGGCCGACCAGTCCTAACACTAACTTCTTAATGCTGATGGCATATCTCGGTAGCAGTCAGTACCATTTTTATAAGTATTTCATATCACCCGGCCGGGGTTCGAACTCGCAATCTTCCTCTTCCAAGGCGGACGCTCTAACAATTAGGCCACCGGAGCTGTCTCTGACAACTGTCCCTGACAATAGCAACTTCAATGTTCATTGCACGGCGGTTTGTCTGTAGAGCACTTGCAGCTTAGAAATCTCGCTGAGACGTGCAGATGCATTTTATTAGCTCACTGCAAGTTTTACCTGCCTAGGCAAGAGTTTTCCAGATTCATGCCAATGGTCGTATTCCATTATCCCCCCATCCTTCTGGAGTGCAACCTCTGAACAGAGATTCTGTATTTGTGGTCTAAATCCTTTCCCGATAGGTCAATTCCTTGATATGTTATAGCAAGCATTGTAGAGAGATACCGTGGCAGAGGCGTGAATTATATAAACAGAAACAAAACAGCAATAGTGTGTATATCACAATTATACAGAACAGATGGAATAGTCTGTTTGACAGGTTTGCCTGATTGCCGAAGACATGTCGACGCTAAGATGAATTGGTCCTAAAACATTTCAGGCATATATTTCAATATTATTAAAATTTGTTTTAAAATTAATGCTTTTTGCAAATTTTGAATATTTTAAAATACTCTATGTTAGATTTTCAAAACATAAACCAATATTAGAACTGGATAACCTAATATTACTAAAACTATGATATTTTGGAAGAAAATTTTATAAACGAAAGGAAAAGAAGCTTTCAGTCATACCTCAATGGATAAAAACCAATGTGGGCGATTTGCAAAGATTTTCTACTATACTTAAGTAACTAAATATAAAAAGGCGAAGAATATCTAAATTCATCATCGTTTGTAAATGTAGATAGCAAACAATAAAAACACAAAATTATGTGAATCACTGCACCACACACTTCACAAACACAGTATGAATCAGTTATATAGCAAGTGCGTTTCATGCGGTGATGTTTCTAGTGTACATTTGTGCAATTACCATCAGGGATTCTGATTTTTTTCTACATCCATTGTCATGTTTATCAAATGCTTGAATAATAATGTCCATACGTGGGTACGCTTGATACCTTTGTTGAACTATGACCTGTTCTGACACAGGTTGCAAGGTGAGGATGTGAAGCTAGCCTTAAGCAAGAGAAGAGTAATCAAAACATACAGTTAAAGAAGGTCATGCCAGCATTGCCGTTGATGCAATTGTGCCACCTTGAAATAAACAACAAGGTGACGTTAATGAAACAACTAAAAACCATACATTTGTGATATACATTAAGACACATTTTATCATACGGCTTGCTATTTATTGCAAAATTTGTAGAATGAAAACTCCACAAACAATCTACTGGAGAGTGGAATTACTCCAACAGCACAAATCATGGAAATGAAATTTTAATATGACCAATTCAAATGATAATGGCATATGTGTCTACTATGTGAACAAACAAAACTACTATTTTAGTATATCCCTCTTCTTGTGTATATTCTGCAATGGGCTGATGGCTAACTTTGGAGATAAAACGTACTTAGACATAACAAAGTAGCACCAATAATCACTTGCATAATACAAAAGATCTATTATCTATCAGATATATAGTTATTATATACCTATATCTATGTATAGCTTCCTTTATGGAGGACGCTCTTCAATATCCATTGCTTGCATCAGGGGGAGGGGAATAATTCCATTTTGTTGGCAGAATCCTGGAGGAATTTTTTCTTGTTAAATTTCATCTCAGAACATTCGCCTACAGCTTCTCCATATCACTCAAATTTTATTTTTTATGCTGCTTGGGAAGTACCTATCTCAGACTAAATTCAGTCACGAAACATTCTATCCTTCCACAGAAGCGACAGAAATATATTTGAAGCAGAAGATGTTTTTAAACTGCAGTGGCTGCATCATTACAGATTTTGTAGACACATTGCTACACGTGTCTTGATAGTGCAAAACGTGTGACTTACTTCCAGTGCGTAGTTTGCCAAGGTAATTTGCGTGAATTAAAATGCCACCAGATCTCATTCATGCAGCTGTCTGGCTATATAGAAAGGTAGAAGCAGTCTTAAATCCTCGCGAAGTGAAGCAGTTCACTTTGCCCTCGTCTTTGGGTGACTTGAGTATAAATAGATAGGTTGGTTGTTGACTGGCTCATTCAGCGACTTCGTTCTATTGTGCAGTACCTTCTTCCAAAATTTGATTGTGGATTGTTTGATTGTTCTTGCCACGAATTCTCAATGTTCCTAATGATATTCAAAAACGTGGTTCACACAGTCTTGTGCATACAAGAAGAGCATGTCAAGACAGTCATCTAGGAATGGGTTACTGTAATGAGTGACAATATAAATCATATTTGGCGCTTGAACCATTCGCATGACGATAAACCCTATTGGTGGCACTGATAATTGACTCCACGATCCTTCTGATGAAATTAACTACTTTTAAAATCACATGGCCAGCAAACATTTATCTTCGGAGATCATCTGAATTTTCTTTGAGGCATATCGCTTCCAACCAATGTAATTTTCTTTGCACGATTTTGTTCCTGTCGATGATCAGTTGGAAGAGTTGAGATTCTGTGTGTGGTCTTCTTAATTACACAAAATTATTAAAGTCTTCCTTAGGATTTGACAATGTGAATTGCATGTCGCGAATGCGCACAATGATCCAGAAACAATGATTGTAGTAGGCAACTGCAAAGAATAGAAACATTAGTGTGTTTGCCTCTCTGTGTGAGCAATGAAGACAAGACGCAAGATTTGCGTCAGAAGCAATGTTTCCTAGTACTTAAATGTGGGATTCGTCTTTATCAAATCCCGTCTCTGGGCCTAATACTCATATGATTTTAAAGGAATCTCTTGTATGACTGACATGTACATCAGTAGTTTCGGCTTTGGCTTGGTGGACATGTCTTTTCCGTGTCATGGGAATGGTTTCTGAGCATCATTTTCATACGTAGCCACATCAGTTTATGTCCATTAGTCCAGCCACTGCTGTCTATCAAGTCTCTGAAATCATTCAACATTAGACAGTCAAAGAAAATGCACCGCTTTCCTTTCTTTAACTTCCTTATATAGAGACGTTGCACATCATGATGGTCCTACGCCTGTTCCTTTGCTTTTCAGCATCTACCGTTCCATCCAAAATGTGTCTTTGTTGCTTTAGGAACATGTACTGTCGATATATGTAGAATAGATTTACTTCCGGAACTTTGATGAATGAATCTGGACGGGATCACTCGTTCCGTGCGCAACTGTGAGAGGGAATAACTGGTGCTCTATTGGCTAAGGAGTTGAACTGATAGTACTCCCATGATATAATCCCTTAACTCTGCTAGAAGAGAGATTTGGGTGTCGGTGTTACCTTGAAGGCCAATTTTGATGAGTACCTTCCACAAGTTAGAGGAACAAACCATTTCATTGGTTGTGGATTGTTTACACGCGAAGGGTTAACTGGCTTTGTAGTTGAGATACAACGAATGGATGAGAAGATTCAACTTAGATTGGCTAGTTATTCAAGTGATGTTCTGGTAACAGCAATAATGTTCATACCAACACAGAGTGAAAAAGTGGGCTCTCGTTCTAGAGAATTATTTTGAGAAGCATCTGTTTTAGACCGCTTTGAGTTTTTGAGTAATATTTGCCAGATGCTGGGACAATTTGGGAATCTTCCAAATTTCCTTTATAATGATGGCAAAAGAGAAATATTACTGTCATCCATTTCGTAATGGTTAGCATGTTTTGTTAACTGTTAGGAGAAAAGCTTCCAGAAACCGTGCCGTTTATGTCTTTGAAATCTCTTCTCTGCAAATCATAGCAACGTTTGCAAATAGAAGAGATTCCGATTTATAATTATACAAAAGGCGGACATCGTAAATCATTTGTCACATGCTATCCAAACAAGAAGAACGTTTTTTGTTCCACCTGAAAACTGCTGGAAATACGTGTCAGACAACTGTTTGAGAATTTTGTTTTGTAGCAGATTTCATTTGCCTGAAATTTCGAGGTCCATCAGATGGAGACCCAATGGCTTATTAGAGGCGCGTTTCATCTTAAACTGTAAATGCAGAGGACACACCAACTCTACAAAGGCTTTAACTTTAGTTCCCCATTTCCGTATTTGAATGAGTATAATTGTTTGTGAATTGGCAAGATACCGATTTCGTTACTATGTCAGACAAACAGGAAGGTAATTTCTTGTACTACTACTAAATCCCTTCTTGTTATTTTATAACATTTATTTTCTTTCTGCATGTTGAAAGGATTTATCATCATGGAATGTTGCAAATATTCATAAAGCTTGCCTGTAGTGATTATTTCGCAGAATGGTCATCTTTAACACTGGTTGATTTTCTCGAACGAAGGATATGTAATAGATTATGCCCCTTCATATTGTTGATGTTTCCTATTTCCTCCCATTCGATCTTCGAATTAATGAAGTTTTGATGGAAGCAGCGATGCAAGAAGTGGTTATTTTGCAGAATAGCGATCTTAAACACCTGTCATTGAATTTCTGTTAGAAAGAGGGACATATGATATTTATGTCACCTCGTCTTGCTTAAGTTTCATATTTCTTCTCTATCTAACTTAGAATTATCGAGGCTCTGATTTCAGCAGCGATGCCATGAGTCATTGTTCCCCATATTTGTTACTTCCGCAGTTTTATTTGATCCTTCAAAACACATGCCCTGACAATGTATTCAGCTTTCGGAATTCCTCAAAATTTTTAACGAAATTTTGTACACTGTGATAGCAACGTGACCTTGGCGGTTTAGTTAAACAACATACATTCTCTTGAGTCGTTTTCTGGCAAATAAAACAAGTGACAAATGTCCATCAACAGCCTGAATTTTGGTAGCTAAACACATCTAGGTAACCTTGAAATTAACTTAAAAACATGCATCTTAATTTTAAATTGAAGTGCACTGTAAAAATAAAATTGTGGTATATATGGGTTTTTAGTTCGTATCTAGGAGTGACCACCAACGGTGAAATTGTCCGGCATCGAATAAGCTACTAAAAGTAGGATTTATGAATGGGATAACGTAGTAATCTGAGCTAATATATGGAACAAATAAGACAAGCTCCTGTTACAAGTAAAAC